TGTGTGTGTGTGTGTGTGTGTGTGTGTGTGTGTGTGTGTGTGTGTGTAGGTGTGTGTGTGCCTGTGTGCTGTTATTACAGTGTACACACAGCTGTCTCCTTTCTATTACTCTAAAGCTGTCTGGCACTTTACAAACCATACATCATCCTCATTTTTCTTATGTTAATAGATTTTACACACGCAAGCATTTGCAGATAATGCATTCATTGCTTCAGATCTATAGGTCCTGTAGTCATCCTTCTTTTCTTGTGCTTCTGATGCCCCTCCTTGGTGGATGCACACACAGCATACCCCATACACACCCATAAACTCCCCGCCCATCAGCCTACCTTACCTTGGCCAGTCTGTGAGGACATCAACATTCTGCATCCCTGCCCTCTCCCTGTCTTTTTCCACTACACCTTCATGATGACATTCTGGCTCATTTACTCCTGTTTTGACACCATTTAAGTTATGGGAACTGTTCTGAAGTTAGATGCCAGAACCTTGCCCTTCAGCTCTACATACTGTTCTCGAAGTATTAGGAATAAAAGGAGGAATCCCACAAGCATATCCCACTGTTTACCTTACTATGCTTCTTGGAGGTAATGCTGAAAACAAAGAAATGGGCTAGAATTTTGCCTGAGGTGCAATAAAGTCTAGTTCTGGACCAGGTGCTCACCCTTGAACTGAACAGGTCAATTCTTCACTAGCCTCCCTCTTCTATTTACCCTATATTTTCCTTTCTTTTCTTTTTCTATTTTTTTTCTGTTGTTCTCTCATCCTGATTTTCCCTAATTGTCCTTCATTTCCTACTGTTGAAAGGAAAGAAGGCCTCAGGCATAAGCTGTCCAAATGGCTTTAAAATCATAAAATATAGAAGTAAAATCCCACTTGTAATCAGGTTCTCTTCATTCTCAAGGGCTCGTTATCATTAAGTAGGGCATTTTTCAACCTATCTATAATTGCCAAATCATCTTTGAGAACAACAGGAAATTCACTCAATGAGTCCTAGGTAGTTACTCTAACAGCAAAGAGACCTATATTTCAGCTGTTTCGCTTATAACCCAATTTGGTGATACTTGTTTTGGCTCAAACGGAAGTGTAACACACAAATTCTGCCTTCATGACTGCCTGCCTACATCATAGTCAAGAAGTAGATGACTGAAGAGGTCGACACACTTCAAAATACGTTTTAGAAGTGTGAGAGACAGAATGTTGTGATGCCTTCTGGAATATCAGTCTTTGGAATGTTGTCTGATATGCACATCAGAAAGACCCCTGAGTCTGTGTATGAAGGGACATGTGCATGCATGCACACATACACACATGGAAGGTAGATCTTGGTTTCTGGATGTGTATTTGTCAGGAATATAATATTAAAGAGGAGTGGTACAGTCTAGCAGAGTCAATAGATAAGAGAAAAGGTTAACTCACAATATTTTCTCTGGAAAAGGGCCAAAAAAACCAAACAAACCCTAGTCACATTAAGTTTTTGGTGAGGAAAATGTTTTACTGAATCATGAGAACTGATAAATTCGCCATTGTGATGATCTTTTCCTCCCCACTTCAGGCCTTTTTAGATGACTCATGGGAAACGGCTTTCTATTTTGGGATGGTAACTTATGAATAGTTTCTAGCTATGAACTGCTTAGGGGAATTTTGCATTAGTAAGTATAATAGTAAAGTAAAACAAAGTGTCTTAAAGGGAACCCAAATCTAACATAGCATTTAAGAAAAAGCAAATAAAAAACCACTATTATTTGAACTAGAAAAGTTCAAATATTTTGTTTACTGTGAAATCTTGCAATAGCCCCTAAGCATAAATTAGACACCCTAGCTTCACCATTAGAAAAACTCTGCCAGATCCTTGGTCAGTAAAATACTTGCCCAAACCCATGAACTGGATTGTAGGATTGTCATTGCTCAGATGGCTGGAGTCACTCTTCCTTCTACTCATCTTCTAAATCTGGTCCCACTCACTTCAGAACTTGACTAAGTGAAAGACATTTTCCTGCTCAAATACTCCTCCAAAAAAAATTTCTCCACTAGCTTCATGATTCAGTATTAGAAGAATGGCTTAAAGGAGGATTCCTGCTTTTTTCTTAGCAAAGGACTGAATGAGGGCATTGCACCCACACCAGGATAAGGATTTAGAGCTCACCCATTGAGGTACCCTAAGTGTATCCTAGAGCTAAGCAGAGGCTTAACTGTGGCATAGTTAATGTACACACAACTTGGTAATGCTTGCTAACTCTATTTGATGTTGAAACCCAAACTGCTGCTGGCTGCTTTCCTAACTCTCCTCTTTACCCATAAATCAACAAGTGTGGTTGGAGGTATTGTCTTTGTTTAGAATCGCTTCCGTCTTGTATCTGATTTGTCCAGGAAGACTATGTGTATTGAGGGTGCAGGGGGTGGGGTTAGGAGAATAAGGAAGGGACTGCAGCTGGTTCAGGAAGAAAACTTTATAATAATTGCATGTCCTAACAAGAGAAGTAAAAGCAAAATCACCCCAAGTAACAAGTTGTGTATTCTTAAGCATCATGGAACTCACAAATTATGTCCTAAGTGCTTCAGAATGGGATTTGCCCTCTGGAAAGGCATACTTCAGGTTCCTTCCAATTGTTAGGAAATAAAATTTATGAATCCAAATAAGGGAAAAGAGCAAGACTATTCAGGGTGTAATTCTGCCTCATACAGCATATTCCTTGAACACCACTGGAAAACTCCAGCCTTTCCTTTTAGTCTCTCCATTTGTACCTAAGATTCAATGATGTATTTGATTAAAAATTCTTTATACTACATTTGCTCCTTTGGGAAGAATCCTCCAAATTTCCAAGTCTCATAATCTTGCCATTGTAGCTATGGTATGGGCTTCTTCCTTTATTGCTAATTTGGGTTCCCAGAGTTTAAAGATAATGAAACAATCTGGTATCTCGTAAAGTTCAGCCACACTCCATTAGGAGCTGCTAAAAACCAGTGGCTTCATAAGGAGTTCATCTCTCTGCTCCTCTTGGGATTTGAAGGTTTCTAAGGGAGGGTGGGCTTGGAAACTTCAGTTTTCCTTAAGTAATTAAACAAAGCACTTCCACCATTTGGTTCAGCAGACACCTACTCTAATGGAGAAGGAAAACACTCAAAGCGGGAGTCCTAAGTACTTTCCACACTTAGTTTTGTAAGTCTGGAGTCTATTCAGTCAATATCTCTCCTTTCAGGTCTTCCTGGGTTGAGCTGTTCTATGATATTCAGACTTCTGACAGAAAAGTCCTTTCTTGGAAAACTACTCAAGGTGTTATCCCCAATTAAGACATCTTCTAACCCTAAATAGCACAGTCTAAAGCTAAGTTGCCTTACATGTACTGTGCAAGTATTAAAAGTCATCAAAATATGTATTTCTGGATGGCCAACTTCCATTTGGCAAAATGTCAGTGGGCTTTTGCCTGACATATGGGAAGAAATCAGGCTGTTTAAATTTAGAAGAGTATAGAATGGTCAATTTGTTCTAAAGGGCAAGAGAATAGAATAAATAACTCAAAAGTCCCTTCCAGGCCTATGATTCTATGCTTGAGGATTCCAACCATGATTGTGACTTTAGTTGTAGTCATCTGTAATTGCCCACTGTCTACAAGATTACCTTTAGGGTAATAGCATCCCAAGGTTCCCCCCTCTTCTTGCTAGTTCTGAATTTGAATATTGTCTGAGAGCAGGAACTGCAGATTTACATAGAAAGTCATTTTCTCTCCCAAGTAAACTGACATTTCACCGACCTAAAAGAGAATCACAGGGCAGCATGGCCTCGAGTCTACTTTCAATCTCAGGAAAGTTTGAGATTGACAGTCATCTAGGCATTTAGTCATAGGCTGCCTTCCGTGAGAAGAAAACCCACTGTGCCACAGTGCTCCTAACAAGGAGCATTTCAGGACTTAGCAAACTAAAGCCAGATATTGACTTTTTGACCCAAATGGTAATACTTTAAAAATTAATGCCAAGAGCTAATAATACTAACAAACAATTATTCAAAATACACAATACCATGCCTTTGTTCAAACTCTAAACAGAAGTGCAGCCCAGTTTAAGAAAACCTAATATATGTATACATATACACATATATCTATATATATATACACACACACACACACACATATACATATATACACACATATTCAAGTTCACAATAGAGATCTAGTAGGGTCTGAACATTTTCTTTTCAAAGAGATTCACCCTACATAGATTCTTCTAAATTATGACCTCTTTGACTCACTGAAAATGTTTTGAACTATTAATTTTTATTTTTCAGAAACTCTTCTATTGTGTAAAGCAAGTAACCTGTGAGGTTCTTCAAATTTGGAATATTATATTAGGCAAACAATAGAAAGGTTTCTCCATCCCCCCCCCAAAAAAAAACCTTTCACTTTTTCCTTCTTCCTACCACTGACTAAGCCTGAGAAATGTTTTGAACAGGGGTCACAAAGAAACTTCCGAAGGTTTGGCTCTTTCTAAAGTGAAGGGCATGTTTATTTTGAAGCTGTAGTAGCTGAATTAGCCTGGAGTTTTAGTTGTACAAACTCTGAACATCTCCCCCATATCATGTATATGGTGCACCTGTATTAATTTATGCAGCCATTTAGTTATAAATGTTCCAAGATAGATCATAAGTCAACAGTATGTGCCTTGTTCTGTTAACTGTTATTGTAATAAATTTAAGATCACAATAAATGAACAGGTTTCTGTCTTCTATCTTCCATGAAGATTATGCTCTTTCAGTCCAAACAAAAAATTTCACTAACTTCATAGGGCCAAAATATCTACAATCACTTTCCTTAAAACACAAATCTCATTAACATTCATAAATATAAATTCAGAGTTAAAAAACCTCAATTGGGAATATTTCATTTCAATAAATACTAATAATGGATTACAGTATTTCTGTACATGCCTTATCTCCTCTACTAGATTATAAGCTTCTTGTGGGCAGGGATGTATCTTCCTCATTTTCAGGTCC